CGGCTGTTCCCGCACGGCACCAGCAGCCAGCCGAGAAGCCGAGTAAGGGCGGTCGAGGCTGCAGCCAGCATCCCTGAAGCTCTGCGCGGCCCCTACCCGGCGAGGGGGCTCTGCCCTACCAGCACGGCCCCAGATGCTGCACTGCTACTGAGCTGCCATCAGTCCATCTCAGGACAATTTATCTCTGTTATCTCCAGCATTACGCTGGATCCGGCTCTTGGTGATCTGTGCTGGTTCCTCCACCCAGGAGGCTGGGGTGGGCTGATGCCTCCAGGTTGGCTTTGATGGGAGAAGGGGGGCTTCCCAAACTGCCTCCCGCTTCCATCCCCAGTCTGCAGCAGCCTTTGAACATGCCCCATTTTCACAACCTTGAATGCCTTGCAGATCCTGCTCTCTGCTCCTAGACTGGGGCCCCAAATGCAGCCCCTAGCTTCTGTGCCCACAGCATCCTCCGCCTTTCATCCTCTGGTGTCTTTCAGTAAGCCAGAGGTGGAAGGAGAGCATGGGAAAGGGGGATGAAATGACCCTTGTATGTCTGCCACCCCGGTGCCATGCAGCAACCTCAGCCTGCTGCAGCTGAAGAGGTGCTGCTGTAAGAAGCCTGTCTCTCCCCAGCCATCGCCCTCTCCTTCTGGGCAGCGACAAGCTGTCTCATGGGGACACTCCTGATACCTCCACCTCTCCAGAGAGCTGTCATTCCCAGACCCACAGGCATTTTGGGATGGGGTTGTCATGCAACTGCCCCACTGTCCACCTTGATGGGCAGAAAGTCCACCCCATGGGAGAGTGCAGGGCCAGTGTGATGTGCCACTTGGGGATGTGACCATGACACCATGCAGGTGACCGTGACTGTGACCACCAGGCACCATGAGGGAGAGGTCTGCAAGTCCCTTCTCAGCTGCTGCAATGCATCGAAAGGGCTGTCTTTGCCCACCCTCCCACGGTGCCTTCTCCAAGCTGGCGGCAGTATCCCCATCTTCCTATGGGAGACGGTGGCTTGCAACCCTGTTCCTCTCCCCTGCTCTCTCAGGAAAGGCGCTGGCCGGCACAGCTCATCCAACGACTCATCAAAGGCTCTTAAAGAGAGCAAATAAAATTGCAGGCTCCAATCGATCCGGCGCTCTGTAATGCTGTCTTTGGAGGTGGGCCAGCCTGTCGGCCAGTGGTGAGAGTAAGAAAGGCAAGGAGGAAAACAAAGCCATCAAGGGAGCATTAAAGGCTTTTTCTTCCCTGAGGCTTTGGGCAGTGCCTCTGGGTGCGGGGTGTCCCACTCCAACCTCCTCCATCCTCCCCCTGCTGATGTCCAGGTCTCAACCCCTGCCCGACACCGAAAACAGCCTGAGCAACATGTTGCCTCCTCATGGGCACTCCTCCACAGGCTCCTGCATGCAGCTTCCCTAATCCTGGCAAATATTTATTTCCCCATCGCCTCATGAAGCTGCTGAACTCTGTAAAGGCAGAGCTCCTTTCCTTTCACTGCAAACAGTGCCTGCCCCCTCTAATCTGTCTATTAACCTCTCGCATGGCAGGAAGCCACTTCTCCCACGTGCTCTGCTGATGTCCTCTCTGCAAACCCGGTGTGCTTAACGCCCGGCCATGGTGGCTTCCCAGCAACTTGGGCTCAGGGCAAGGAGACCAAAGGCTGCAGCAGAGGTGGGGCATCACACCTGGGCATGCCGCTCACAAGCTGTGCGATGCTCCAGCAAGATTTGGAGCTGCGACAGGCAGCAAAAGCTGGTTCCAGGGTCATTGTCTCTACAGACACTGCAGAAGACCATTGGCAGGGATGAGGTTGGCTTGCCCACCACACGGTGCTCCAGGCTTTGCATCCATTTGCCCACTGTGCCTCTGGCTTGTTGGAAACAGCTGTCACTTGACCAGCTCCAGAATTTCTCCTGGGCTGGGGAGAGCACAACAAGTGGTCCTCAGGGATGAAATTGCACTGGATGCATCAGCACAGACACAGATTTTTTGTCTTCCTCCCCATCTCAAAGCCCCATTGTCCTTGTACCCTGAGTCCCACTGTGCAGGGGAGAAGTGTGACCAATCCATTTTAGAAACCACTAAAAATGATCTACAATAGCTTTTCCTAGCCCTGCTAGGTCATGAGATAATGGAAATTAAAATTGTGGCATTTTTATATATAGAAAAGTTATTTCAGGTCATTTTTAGAGGTTTCTGAAATGGATCAGTTATAATTTTCCTCTCCTGCTGAGGGCTGAACATACTAAAGATGCCTTCCTCCACACGTGGAGGGATACAAAAAATAGTACCAATAAAAGTTCTAAGAAGCCTCTCCAACACTTCTGTAGGAGATATTTCTTCTGGTGCCCTCAGGGCACATTCACGTTCTCCACTGCTTGGTGATACTGATCCTACAGCGTGCTGGTGGTGTCATCTGTATAACTCATCGTCCCCGTTTCAGGCCAGGAAAGCCTCCGGGGTCCATGACAGCAGCATATGCTTGAGCTGGAGCTACAGCTGTGACACAGGCTGCCTGCGTGTGC